TCATTTTCGATTCTCTTTATATACAGAAGATCAGTTTAGCATACATTAAGTAAAGATTTCAACAGTTTGCTCCCACACAGAAACATAAAGTGAAAAATAATAGATGATTTTTTAAATGATGATGAAATCAGATCAGACCTATTGTCATGTTTAATCCCAGTGAGAGTCAAGTTGGGAATTGATAATTTCTTCTTCTTTTTTTTTCATCTTTCCCTTTATAAGTAAATTAATTGACAGCACGAATTACCAACGAAGGGTAAAACTTTTAAAAGAATAAAGCCAAAAAACGGCTCAGTTTCTTTTTTAAAGCCAAAGGGGAAAAAAATAAAAAGGGGTGGGTGTTGGGGGCCACAGCTAAGGTGCTATTTGGGACACCCACACCCTCTGTCACAGGGCCTGGGTTCTCCGTTCTGCCTCCTGCTCGTGTGCACCCGGGGAGGCAGCAGGTAATGGCTCACATAGCTGGGGCCCTGCGACCCAAGTGAGGGACCTGGATTCAGGTCCTGGTTCCTGGCTTCAGCCTGGCCCAGTCCCGGCTGTTGTGGCCATTTGGGAGTCAATCAGTAAACAGAAGATCTGTGTCTGTCTGCCTTGCAATGAAAAATCCATTAAATTAAAGCACAAGGGGCACAATGTTGAAAGTGTGAATATTTCTACTAGGTTTGGACTTTTAAATTCTTACTTCATGGCCGGCGCCGCGGCTCACTAGGCTAATCCTCCGCCTGTGGTGCTGGCACCCCAGGTTCTAGTCCCGGTCAGGGCACCGGATTCTGTCCCGGTTGCCCCTCTTCCAGGCCAGCTCTCTGCTGTGGCCAGGGAGTGCAGTGGAGGATGGCCCAAGTGCTTGGGCCCTGCACCCACATGGGAGACCAGGAGAAGCACCTGGCTCCTGGCTTCAGATCAGCGCGGTGCGCTGGCTGCGGCAGCCATTGGAGGGTGAACCAACGGCAAAGGAAGACCTTTCTCTCTGTCCCTCTCTCTCACTGTCCACTCTGCCTGTCAAAAAAAAAAATCTTATTTCATAAGCACCAGGAGAGAGTCCTTATATCTGGCTATAACTGAGTAATGGTTCTAACTGTTCTAACACAGAAGCTGCCAAAATGATGCACATTCAATTCTAGAAGGCAGAGGGGGGAAAAATGTCTTCCCATACTTTCAGCATAAACAAAGCTGTGGTTGGAAATAGGGTAGAAGCAATATACTGGTTTAATTTCAAGGCTTTGTAAACATCTTATAAAAACACTAGGTACAGAGCAGTAACTTCCAGAGACTTGTCTCCTACTGAACTCGTCCCCTGTTTGATCCAGCCCATTTCTTACTCTAAACCGAACAATTTCCAAATGCGTGAAACCGGCAGATCCCTCTTTGGGGACGGCCTTTTTGCCCCAGCAAAAGTGCTGACAGATGACCCCCAACCGTCAGCTTCTTCGGGGTTCTCTCAAGGGCACAGAGTGGCCTCGCCTAAGGTTGTGCCCTTTCTGGGGCATCTCACATCCAGGGATTGATCAGCGGTCCAGCCACAGGAGTCCAACGTGGGACAACTCTGACAGGCCACTTTGGCTCCCAAGGGCCGAGGCTCAGCTTCTGCTGCCTGGCCTCCGCGCTCCCGCAGGTGCTGGTCCTGTAGGTACCACCTAATAAACTTGCCGCTCACCTGACTCCCTTCCGAGTCTGCTTCCTAGAGAATCCAGCCTGTGCCTCAGTGCCTCTGTGTGCACCTTCAGGGTGCGAGACTGACCAACAAGCTTGCATCATTAATTCAGTGTTTTCCCTCTGTAACCTGGAGTGTAGGAGCTAGGCAGGTGGGGTGGGGCTGGGGGGAAACAGGAACACGGTACTCAGAGGTGGCCAGACACCCCCCCCACCCCCAGACAAGGAGAGCCGCAGGAGACCAGTCCGAGTCAGATTTCTGCACTTTCAGTGCAGGGATGCGGGAAGGTGTGTGCTGCTTGAGGGAGAAGCGCCCTCCCACTCTCCCTTTTCTACCTCCTGGACACTGCCCAAGCCTGGCTACAAGAGCCCTAGCCTGCTGCTTCTCAGGGATTCAGCTTCTTTGGGGGACCTACAGTTTCCTGCTGTCTCCTGTACTTCTCACAAGCAAATAAAGCTTTTTTTTTTCCCCCTCTGAGCAGCTCCTGCTTGAGGCTGGTTAATTGGTGACACCCAAGCAAATGGAACCCCTGTGTCTACTGACACACCCAATATAGACTACAAGCCAACGGGCCTTCAAAGTCAGCTCAGGAGCGGGCTGGGTGGCTCAGCAAGGGCTGGGTCTGTGTTACTCCAAGCAGACACTCCCACTGAGGCAAGCCTGGACCCCCGGAATGGCCTTCACTCTCCCTCGAGCAGGGCGGGCACCGTCCTGACCCACTTCAACGTATCAGAAACTTCTAGGTCGTCAGACACTCCCATTCAAATCTCAGCCCGAGCCCACATCTGTCTCTCCCTCGCACACATCCCTGGAGACCCTCCGCGTCTCTTCCTGTCCCTTTGCGGGACTCAATGAGGCCTCACCCCATCACAGAGGTGGTTCCCAGGGAGAACGGATGTAAGATGAAACAGAGACGGGAACACCTCGCTCACTTACATCCCAAACCGTGACTTTGAGGCTGAACTCTCCCATGCCCACCTGCCCGTAACTCCCAGACACAGCGTCTCACTTCCACCTAGATACTCTGCCCATTTCTGGCATGCGAAAGCACTGTTTTCCAGAACAAAGCAAACAACGTGGCTGCTCTTAGGCTGCTTTGGTAAAAGCCACCTCCAGAGAAGGCCACGCAGAGAGTGAGTTCAGCAGTACGAATCCCACGTGAGGCAGAACTGAGACTGAAGCAGAAGTGGGGTCACTCCTAGCCACGGGACCTCCAATTTCCCATCCAAATGACCTCAAGGGTTACACAGGCACTGGGTGGGGTGGGGGGAGAGGCTCCTTAAGCTCGCTTGTTCTTAGATACACAACACTTATCACTGAACCATATACTCGAAGGTTGGATACACACACACACATACACACTAAACAACTAGTTGTTCATTCTTTAGTACGCAATAAACTTTTTTTTTTTTTTTGACAGGCAGAGTGGACAGTGAGAGAGACAGAGAGAAAGGTCTTCCTTTGCCGTTGGTTCACCCTCCAATGGCCGCCGCGGCCGGCGTGCTTTGGCCAGCGCACTGCGCTGATCCGATGGCAGGAGCCAGGTACTTCTCCTGGTCTCCCATGGGGTGCAGGGCCCAAGGACTTGGGCCATCCTCCACTGCACTCCCGGGCCACAGCAGAGAGCTGGCCTGGAAGAGGGGCAACCGGGACAGAATCCGGCACCCCGACCGGGACTAGAACCCAGTGTGCTGGCGCCACAAGGTGGAGGATTAGCCTAGTGAGCCGCAGCGCTGGCCCTGCAATAAACATTTTTAAAAGCTGCCTTGATAGTTATCACACTAACCACACTGGGTAACGGGGCTACTGTAACTTTGATGTCAATCCAGTTCTAAACTGCTATTTGAAAAACAATGATGACAATAAAAAGTCTTTTCAAAAGGTGTATTCGTTTATTTGAAAGGCAGTGACAAAGAAAGATGGAGAGACAGAGAGAGATCGGCCATCCACTGGTTCACTCCTCTAAACGGCCACAAAAGGCCAGGACCAGACCAGGCTTGTGGGGAGCAACTCGGACTAGACTAAGTTACTGGAATTAAGACTTATTCTATGCATCTGCTCTCCCACAATATGGCGCTGAGAAGGGAGTAAACAACTTCTACGCAGCTGCCTCTCGCCAACTTGAGTGATGACCTGCAGGAGCTGATCCTGCTCCTGATTTGAGGAGAGCAGCGTACTTGGCGTGTGGGTAGCAGAGTTGGGATTGGTGGAAGAGGACTATAAAGGAGGAGAGAGACAACATGCACCAGGAACATCTAAAGGGAACATCCGGATAACATCTGAGCAGCCCCCGAGAAAGCCAGCCGGCGGTGTGCCACTCCCCCGCGGAAGTGGGGAAAGTGGCAGGGGGAGCCGCCCTTCCACGGAGGTGGAAGGTTGGGCAGCCAACCCGGGAAGAACCAGCAGCAAACCCAGGAAGGGCCGAGCAGATGAAAGAACAATGCAGGGTCCTGTGTCGTTCCTCCACGAAGAGGGGGAGCGACACAGGCTGAAGCCAGGAGGAGCCAGGGACTCTCCCGTGGGCTCCCACACGGGTGGCAGGGGCCCAAGTACTTGGGCCATCATCTGCTGCTTTCCCCAAATGTGTTCATGGGAAACGGGATCAGAAACGAAGTGGCCAGGACTCCAACGTGGAAGGCCAGCATCACAAGCGGAGGTTTAACCCGCTTCACGACGATGCCGGCCCCCAAATAAAACAGTCTTTTTTGCAGTATGTTTTCTCCAAGATTCTGCTCTTTTGGCAGGGACTGTCCAGATGGAAGTAAAACGTCACGTCCCTCCCGGAGGCAGACTGTCAAGACCATGTTACCTTCCGGTCAAGCTCCTTCAAGGATTCTAAATCAACAGCAACTCCTACGTGGCGACTTCAGTTCCTTTCCTGCGCTGTCTTTCCCTGCTCAAGCACTTGGTTCTAATCAGACCACTTCCTTCCTGCCGCTGTGCTGCTTCTTATCGAAGATCTTCAAGCCTTTTCACCACCCCATATGCTAAACAACTTCCACCTTTAGAAGCGCATTCTCTGGGAGTCCCAAGGAAGAGCCAAGCTCACTCGAGGCCTTCAGCGATGGAAACGGCCTTCCCACATCCCAGATCAGACTGCGAAGAGCAAAAACGCATCTTCAGCGGCCTTCCCTGTCCTTTCTCTTCGGAAGAGCACACTCCTCTTTTTCTCAGGGGCCATTCTCATGCCTGCAGGGATCTTCCAAACACAGAGAAAGGCAATGTGAGCAGTCATAGTAGGTGCAGGCCTCCAGGAAGAAAAGAACTAGCATAGCAGACCTAACCATTTCACTTTAGAAAGGGCTGCCGACTGGGGCCAGCACTGTGGCGCAATGGGTTAGACGGCCAGCACCCCATATGGTCGCTGGTTCGAGTCCTGGCTGCTCCACTTCCGAGAGAAGCCGGAACTGGGATTCAAGCCCATCCGGCTTCCAGCTGGCCCCAGAGCCACAGTCCCCATCCTCCAGTCACCTCTGTAAGAAGAGAAGAAACAGCAAGGGACAGCATCACCTTGTTCAACCTGGGCTGGGAACACGCATGTGGGGGGTAACTAAAATTCTTCACTGATTTATGCAGGGCTGAATTGTGGGTGACAAATGCATGGTTCTAAAAAAAGATTCTTATATGAAAGGCAGAGTTACAAAGCAGGAAAGGGAGAGAGGGGAGAGGGAGAGAGAATGTTCCATCAGCTGGTTCACTCCTCAAATGTCACAATGGCTGGTGCTGGTCCAGCCAAAGGCAGCTCCATCCTTGTCTCCTAAGTGGGTGGTAGGTGCCCACAACTTGGGCCATCTTCCTCTGCTTTCCCAGGTGCATTAGCAGGGAGCTTGGTCAGAAGTGGAGCAGCCAGGACTCGAACCAGTGCCAGCGTTGCAAGCGGAGGCTTAACATGCCTTACCACAACGCTGGCTCCACACATTTCAGCGAGTGGGTGACTGTATCCTGAATCTTGTGAGTCCTCCCCCACCCCTGCAAATCAGTAAACCTGGGGGTGGGCCTGGGAACCCCTAACCGAGCCTCCGGGGAGAGCCCTGGGTCTCTGCTTCTGCAAAGGCACCGAGGAGGAAGTACGGGGCCCGAGTGGCAGGATGTGGAGCTTCCAGTGTGACTGGCTCTTGGCTTCTGGGTCACTCTGGCTGTTCCTTGAGATTTTCTTTGGCCTCTCTTGCTGGCTTACTTTTCTGAAGCATATTCTCCGACTCAGCTGCTACAGTTGGACGAGCCCGTGGCAGCCTCCCTCTTCAAGAGGTCAAATAGGAACTCTGGTGAAGCCCAGGGGAAGGGAAGCCTGATGAGTCACCTGGGCCAGCTGTCCAGGCTTGAGGGTCAACACTCCCGCCCCTGCCAAGTCTGTTACACAGCTTTTCCTTTGGAAAACCCTTGCCCTTTCTTGTCCTCAGACTGGCTGCAAGGCTACGGTCAAGACCAAAACACAAGGGTCTAGATGAAAGCCATCAGGGAGTCACCAGAGCCCAGAAGGGGCCAAGGCAGTCCTTGGCACTCACTGTCACCCAGCTCATCACGGGGCGGACGCTGGCAGCAAAGCCGTACGGCTAACACTGCACACGTGCTGCAGGATCTGCCTTGCGTGGCTAGCGGATTCAGACTCTGGCTCCCCTGTTGTGGTGTACTAAAGATATTTGAAGTTGGTCTTTACTCCCGATTCCTGGCAGGAGTTTTGAAAGCTCCTGGAGTTTCCCAAGTGACAGGTGCGTCTTTTGTCATTCACAGTGAGTCCTTTTGGATTTATGTGAAACAGGTAAGCCATGATGGGCCCTCAGATAGTATTAAGGAAAAGGATTTCCACACAAGTGATTGGAGGGGGGCCTGGCTCCAGTCTCAGCTCCCCTGCTGCTGAGCCAGCTGCCTACTGATGTGCACCTGGGAGGTAGGTGATGTCTCCAGCGCTTCAGTGCCCGCCACCCATGTGGGAGACCTGGATGGAGTTCCAGGCTCCTGACTTCAGCCTGGCCCGGTCCTGGCTATTGTGGGCATTTTGTGAATGAACCAGGAATGGAAGATTTCTGTCTCTACCTTTCAGATAAAATGAAATTAAAAAATTTTTTAAGATTCATTTATTTGAAAGGCAGAGTTAGAGAGAAGAGGAGATCTTCCATTCACTGGTTCACTTCCCAAATGGTTGCAATGGCTGGGGCTGTGCCAGGCCCAAGCCAGGAGCCCAGAGTTTCTTCTGGGTCTCCCACATGGGTGCAGGGGCCCAAGCGCTTGGGCCGTCTTCTGCTGCTTTCCCATGTGCATTAACAGGGAGCTGGATCAGAAGTGGAGCAGCAATGGACTCAAACTGGCACCCATATGATATGCTGGTACACCACAATGCCTCCCCTGCACCCCCCTCCCCAATTTTAAGATTAAAGTTAACAAACATCTTTAAAAAAAAATACACACACACACACACTGGAGGATGGGAAGTTTTAGGCTAGCCTAACCCTCCAGGGAGGAAGGGAGGGAGGCTGGAGACCAAGGTCCAGCAAGCAGTCAATGACTTGACCTATCTTCATACCCATGTAATGAAGTCTCAGTGGAAAACTCCAAACTTCAGAGTGCTCACACAGAGATGTGCCTGGGGGGTTGGGGGAACAGGGAGGTAGCAGACATGGAGAGGACTTGGAAGCTCTGCACCAGCACCCCAGCCCCCAAACCCTGGACCTCTTCCATCTAACTGCTCTCAAGTTATTCCTCTATGCACATACCCCTTGCATCTGGCTATTCCCAAGTTGCACCCTCTCTAATAAAACTGTCATTGTAAGCATAAGGCTTTCCTGAGTTCTGTGAGTCACTCTAGTGAATTATCAAGTCAAATTCTGAAGGGGGGGTGGGGAATGGTGGTCATGGGAACTCTTGAATGCACAGCCATCTGACAGAAGTGCCTGGTGACACCAGGACTTAAGGCTAGTATCTAAAGCAGGGAGAGCCTTGTAGGACTGAGCCCTTAAACTTGCAGAATCTGCCGCTGACCCTGGGTAGTGTCTGAATTGAAGTGCTGGATGGCCACTTGGTATCAGATGATTATTGGAATGACGCACTCACTGTGCCACTCTTACTCATCCTCGCTCTCTTTCATCAGCTCCCACCACCCTGAACTAGCCTCTTCCTATGGATGAGAAACGAGTGAGCTGATAAAGAACGGCTCTTACAGCTTCCAAGTATTTAACATTGTACATGCCTGGAAAAGGAGCACCTTCCTCTACAATCTCTCCTTGTGTTGTCTTATCTGTAGGGAAATTCGCCCCTGAACACATCAGATGAGAACCTGGCGGTTATCGCTGAGACCACAGACACCCAAGAAAACAACCTGTGTGGGGAAAAAAAAAAAAAAAAAAACGTACTTTACTGAAGCCCCCAAACCCAGGCGGCTTCAGTGGAACGGTTTCTGTGGGTACTGTGAGGTCGCAAAAACAGGCAAAGGCGGACGTGGCGTGGAGCTCCGGACAGTGAACACTCGCGACTGCCCCTTCCTTCCCGAGAGCATGGGGACCGAGCAGCGAAGGCCCTTTCCAACGGAACAAGTCCCTAGTGGCACTGAAACCCGAAGGAGTGCTCTCGGGGAATGAGTCATTTTGGACGCTCGCTCCCTTAGAGGAGAGAGCTGGGACCGTATTGACAAATAAGCCAAAACGCTGGAGAAGAAAATGCAACTTGAAATATGCAAGGCTACACACAGGAGCTCCTCCTTCCAGACAGGGCCTGGAGAGGCGCCGCGGCACTACAGAGAAGTGGCTGTTCGGCAGGAGTTGGCATCCGAGTGGAGGGTTGTCTACACAGCCGCTGAGTCGGTCCGTCTGCAGCCTGCCTCTGCTCCCAGCTGCAGTCCCCCAGCGTAGCTCTCCGGGGGATGGGAGGTTTGCCTCGCGGAGTGGCCGTGGTGCTAGCGTGCAGGCCAGGGAGCAAGTCAAGGAAGAGCCCGTAGGACAGACTCAGACGTGAAAGGAAATGAAGCAGATGAATGGGGTGAAAGTTACCCTTATCACATATGGGGAGGGGCCTGAATCTGCGCCCTCTTCTCCTCTACCACACGTGGAGGGGCTGCCCACCTACTGGTATATCCTTGCCCACTCACAGAGCTCCCACTTGAGAAAGGCGGCTTGGGAGTCTTCAAAAAACTTCATGAGAAATGCATATTATGGAAAAAAAAAAACAACCATGCATCCATTTCAAAAATTTTACACCAAAATAAAGTGATCTTTTAATTCCATTTTCCCATGAGCTTTCTGAAACACTCTCATGAACCTAGCTACTCAGACAGCAAGAAATCCCAAGCCAGCCACCTCTACTTATCAACACGCACCATCATGCATAAAGAGGAGGAGGCAATGAGCAACCAGCCAAGGTCTAAGGAAAGACCCTTAGCTTGCGTATTAGTCTGCCAAGGCATCACAGAACTGGAGGCTTAACCCACAGAGCTAATTTCCCCACGGTGCTGGAGGCTGGAAGCGCAGGATCAAGCTGTCAGCAGGGCTGGCTCCTTCTGGGTCCTCTCCTTGGCTAACCTCTTCCCCCTCCACCCTGTGTCTTCAAATGGTCTTCCCTCTAAATGCGTCTGAAGGCCAATCTCTTTTAATAAGGATTATGGCCTACCTAAAGACTTCATTTTAACTTAATACTTTAAAAAAAAAGTTACTTTTATTTGCAAAGTTGAGAGATAGAGACAGAGAGATCTCCCACTGGCTAGTTCACTCCCCCACCAAATGCCTGCAACAGTCAAGGGTGGGTCAGGCCACAGTCAGGAGCCAGGAACTCCATCCAGGTTTCCTACATGGGTAGCAGGCACTCAAGTATTTAAGCCATCACTTGCTGCCTCCCTGGGTCTGCATTGGCAGGAAACTGGATTGGAAGCAACCATGAACCCAGGCATTCCGAGATGCAGGTGTCCCACGCGGCGTCTGAACCATTGTGCCAAATGCCTGTCCCATCACTTAGTTACTTGTTTAAAGACTCTACCCTTCATATACAATCATTCTGAAGTAGTGGGAACTACAGCTTTAACAGATGAATTGTAGGGGTACATAATTCAGCCCACTGCAGCATGAGAGAAAGATGAACAAAACCAGCTTACCTACAGGAAACAGAAATAATGCAAAGATCAGAGGAAAACACTTAAAGTTCTTTTTCTTTCTTAAAGAGTTATTTACCTGAAAGTCAATTACAGAGAAATGGAGGGAGAAATACAGACAGAGGTCTTCCATCCACTGTTTCATTCCCTAAGTAGCCACAACGGCCAGTGTGGAGCCAGCCTGAAGCCAGGAGCTACATCCAGGTCTCCCACGTGGGTGGCAGGGGCCAAAGATTTAGGCCATCTTCCACCCATGTTCCCAGGCCACTAGCAGGGAGCTGGATAGGAAGGAGAGCAGCTGGGACATGAATGAGCGCTCATATGGGATGCCAGTGTCTCAGGCAGTGGCTTTACCCGCTACACCATAATGTCAGCCAAAATTTAAAGTTGTAAGTAATACCATTCAAGGGCTTCTAAAGATATCACAGGGGCCGGCACTGTGGCCCAGCAGGTTAAGCTGCCTCCTACGACTCCAGTATCCCTTTATCAGATGTCGGTTTGAGTCTCAGTGGCTTCGCTTTTGATTCAGATCCCTGCTAATGTGCCTAGAAATGCAGTGGAAGATGGTCCAAGTGCTTGGGCCCCTGCTATGTGGGAGACCTGGAGTTCCAGGTTCCTGGCTTTGGGCTGGCCCAGCCTTGCCACTGTAGTCATTTGGGGAGTGAACCAACGGATGGAAGATCTTTTTATCTCTCTGTTGCTTTGCCTTTCAAATAAATAAGATTTAAAAAAAAAATTGCAACCTTAAAAACCTGTAGGAAAAAAAAAGGCAATCATGAGTATGAAGGCTTCTTGGTGTTTAAAACTGTGGTTCCCAAAATTATAAGTTGATTACAAGAGCTGAAGAACAGAGGAGAGCCAAGAATTACCACGAAATCGGGAGAACACATGGGTGAGTCTGGGTAAAATGCTCACGACAAAAAAAGGTGGGAGCTTTAGTTTAAAACAACATGGAAGATGAGGGGTGTGAAGCAAAGTTCAAGAATTCTAATCTTGATTTATTCAGAGTTATTTATTTGCTTTAGACTTTGTCAGAGGAAAAAAAAATGTAAACTTAGGTACGCATGCTAAAAAATGCTGCGGCCAAGGTGGGTGGCCTGACTGTGTATCCCTTTCTTGGGTGGAGAAGGGGGAAATTCATTTTCCCATAAAACTGCCACTTCCCAGCTCCTAGTTTGATCTGGAGAGCCCACTGTCGGCGGCTCCCAGGGCGTAGGAAGTCTGACCTCAGCCCCCATCTCTGCAGGGGCGTGAAAGCCCCGGCCGCGACGGCACCTCCGTGGGGGCCAGGGGGCTTCAGCCCACTCACTGCATAAGCAAGCGCCTTCACTCTGGCACCTGGAGAAGCCTGTCTGTGGCTCTCCAGCTCAGCTAAGAATCATAGAGCAGTTTTTTTAATCATTCAAAGAAGTCTTATTTTAATAATGAGTTTTTTTTTTTTTTAAAGAAAAACATGAAGAAACCACAAATTGGGGAGATTGGGTCTGTGCAGGAAAATGCTGCTTGCAGCAGTGTGTGTCAGGGGGAAAAGTTATCTTTATATGCACGATTTGCATTCAGAGGATTAAAGTCAACAGGATGAAAGCAGCAAGTTGCTTGCTCGGCTCTCACGGGGGGGGAAAACTTCTGCCTGTGGGACTTCTGGTTCACGTCGATGTCTCTATGGAGAGATAGAGGATCTTATTCTATCATCTTGCTCCAACTCTTTCCATAAAACTATTTTTGAAATGTCCTACATGTCCATGGTATGAAATGAAATTTGTGGGAGGCCACGGATTTAGACCAGAATCCTGTACTGGCTCCAGCAGATCAAACCAACATGGAGTCACTCACGCCAAACGAAACTCGCAAACTCAGCAGGACGCTCGTGTGACACACGCCTGAGTTTCAGTAACAGAAGCTGAGCTTTAGCCAGGCCCAGGCAGCCAACTGGTTCAAATATGGCAAATCAACTAAGCTCTATACCTCATCCCGTTTTTCTACCCACGAATACTAAACTGGGCCACATTTTAGCCCTGAAGTCCTGTGCACCTGTTCTGGTTTAGAGGGCTACCCAATTCTAGAATCCTAAGTACAAGCCGGTTAAGATCTTGAATTTGATGCAATTTTGCTTCTGGACACGTGTTTGGAAAAAAAAGGGTGAGCACGTTCATCTATTGGCTCTCAGCCTACCTCTTTAACCCAAAGTCTGTATTTTAAACAGAAGAGATTTCACAAATAAGATCAGTGTGCACACCCACATATAATGAAGGATAGAATTAAAAGCGAGAGAATGATCCTGCGGGGGAAGCAGGACACACAGCAGACTCATAGAATGGCAAACGCCCCAAACAGCACTCCGGCCTCAGAATCAACCCTTGGGGCATTCGGATCTGGCTAAAAGGCCCATGGGAGTCTCACAGGCCATGATACGGTGGCAAAAAACAAACTAAATGAAAGATCCTGGTGAACAAGACCCCAGCAGAAGGAACAGGCCATCAAGGAGAGAGGCGCCTTTCTCTGAAGGGAGAAAGGAACCTCCACTGTGATACAGCCTTGACTAAACAAGTTCAGAGTCGGTGAACTCAAGGGGCTTCCATAGCCTAGACAGCTCATAGCAAGAGTCTCGGGTGATTGCTGATGTCATAAATAAGAGTGCCAACTGTTAAATCAACAACGGGAGTCACTGGGTACATGCTCCCCACGTAGGATCTCTGTCCTCAATGTGTTCTACTATGCAACTTAAAAACAACACTACTAGTCGATTGTGTGAGTGCAGCCTGTTGAAATCCTTGCTTAGTATATACTAAGTTGATCTTCAGTATATGAAGGTAATTGAAAATGAAATTCGATGAAGGGCGGGATGGGAGAGGGAGTGGGAGAGGGAGGTTGGGGGGGGAAGCCACAACAATACAAAAGTTGCACTTTGTAAATTCACATTTATTAAATAAAAAAATAACTATATAACAAAAAAAAGAAAAAGAAAAAAAGAACTTAATACTTTACCCTTTTAGTATTTTTTATGTTCTACTTAAAACTATTTGTTGAACTCTGTAATTAATACACAATTACTCTTAGGTGTTTAATTAATGCTACAACTAGTACTCAAATAGTATTTTACACTTTGTGTTTCTGTGTGGGTGCAAACTGTTGAAATCTTTACTTAATATCTTTACTTAATTGATCTTCTGTATATAAAGATAATTGAAAATTAATCTTGATGTGAATGGAAGGGGAGAAGGAGTGGGAGAGGGGAGTGTTGTGGGTGGGAGGGAAGTTATGGGGGGGAAGCCATTGTAATCCATAAGCTGTACTTTGGAAATTTATGTTCATTAAATAAAATTTAAAAAAAAGAATGGAAAACACCTTTGGTGCACTTATAGTGTGTATGTGAGTGCATGTGTATGTATGTGTGTATGTGTGTGGGGGGTGTGCACACGTGTGTGGTGGGTATGTGTGTATATGTGGGGGTGTGCACATGTGTGTGGGTGGGTATGTGTGTATATGTGGGTGTGCACACGTGGGTGGTGGGTATGTGTGTATATGTGGGTGTGCACACGTGTGTGGTGGGTATGTGTGTATATGTGGGTGTGCACATGTGTGTGGTGGGTATGTATGTATATGTGGGGTGCACACGTGTGTGGTGGGTATGTGTGTATATGTGGGTGTGCACACGTGTGTGGTGGGTATGTGTGTATATGTGGGGGTGCACATGTGTGTTGGTATGTGTGTATATGTGGGTGTGCACACGTGTGTGGTGGGTATGTGTGTATATGTGGGGGTGCACACGTGTGTGGTGGGTATGTGTGTATATGTGGGGGTGCACACGTGTGTGGTGGGTATGTGTGTATATGTGGGGGTGCACACGTGTGTTGGTATGTGTGTACATGTGGGGGTGCACACGTTGGGGGGCATCATTCTAGAAGCATCACACATATTAACCTGTCTCCTGTTCACAACACTATGAAACAGTACCAGGAACCCCCAGTTTACAGATGAGAAAGTGAGGACACAGGAAGATTAAGCAATCCTGCTCCAGGGCTCACAGCTAGTATCTGGGCCGGCAGGTTCTGACCCACTAACCACCACCACCCTGATGCTCGTTCCTGCCACTCAACAAAGGTTTCAGGCCCCTTCTTTCTCAAGCAAACATACTGGTAGGA